TAAGACATAAAATATAAGATTATTTCTAATTTTCATTCTAAGTCATGGCACAGCAGAGCTGAGTGGTATAATATATATATACCACTCACTCAATCCCTCACCAGCGTCGTGGCTTTTTGTGGAAGAAAAGAAGAGAAAGGAGGGGGAGGAAGTAAGAAAGAGAAAAGAGAAAGCTAGATTTTGGCTACCTTTTCATTTCACCGCTTTTATGAAATTCTTTAGATAATTAAGGGTGACTTTTTTCCAATTTCTATTTTTAAAGATTTTAATTTCCACCATTTGATTGCTCCTAAAATGATTTTAATTGTATTTTTTCTCAATTTAGAGTAGTTTTATCACATAACTTTGTATATGTTATTTTATTATTTATTTTGAATAGTTTGATTGGTTAATTTTTTTTTATTTTACAACTTAAAATTGTAGTTATTATATTTTATATGATTTCATAAGAATAATGATTTTGACATTTTAGTCAAATTATAATGTTATTGCAAACATAGTGAATGAATATTGTTAAGTGATTGGGTGATAGCTGGTCTCTATTTCTTATATAATATTGGATAATAATATGTGTAAAAATAAGTAAATATTAGTTACTCACTAATGTGGGTGGAGACTAAGTGACTTATTTAGGATGGTGAGCTCATGGGATTTTCTTTAAATACTGTGGTTTGGTGCTACCTCTACTATTTCATATGATTCACTAATTGAGAATTAGGAGTTAATTAATGTGCCTACGGGCAAAGAATAATGACTCTATTTGATAAGCTAATAGTTTTTTATTATAAAAAAAATTCCATGTAAGAAAGAGTTTTTCACCTTTTAGTGTTAAAAAATATCAAAAATAAATAAATAAATAAAATACTTTTTTAGTGTGATTACTGGGATACATTACTGATTTACTAACACTACACTAATTTATTATTACCATAAAATTTTACTATTACTATTATAGATTTTATTGATACTGATAATCCTACTCATTCATTGTCATTGTTATTGTTATTGGTTCACTGTTTAATAATTTACTATTACTGAGCACATGATTTTTTTTACTTAGTGTATGATACAAGATATTGATTTTAGACTGGTATATAATTACATAACATAATGTGTATACTTATTTGATATTACTTCATTATTATGGATTTTGATAATCTTCATAGTTGCTTCGATTTTATTGATTTATATAATTTTCTTGTTGGTTGGATCTCATTGTTATGATGTATGGATGACATATGTACATCATTTACAGGTTTATATAATTTGTTATTTTTATATTATATTGTTTTACTTCCCTTTATATCGTATTGGTTTGCTTATTAACAGATTTTATTATATAGTATGTGTTTTGCTATTCTTGCATAGATAAATGATCATATTGATTTTTACTATTATGAACTAAATGATTATTTGCATATAATTTTTTTTATCATAGTTTAATTTTAATTATAATATTTTAGTGACATATTGGATCTTTTTAGCTTATTATATGTTATTTAAATAATTTCATATTAGGGATGATGAATGAGAGTATGAGACTAATCAGTTACAGGATTCCTTAAGTTTTACTATTATTTTAGTTCTTTTTTATTTTTAGATATTATTTTGTGGTGAGGAGTAAGCAGATGGTGTATTGAATTTGAATGACTTCTCGCTATTATAAATGATTTTTGGATAGTGATTATAGATGTACATTAATATTTTGATATATAGATTCATTTTTGCTGATATTTATGTTATTGAAAGAAATTTGGTATGTGTGGTTACTAAATAACATATAGATGTTACAATTCTTTCAAGATTTGAGGTAATGGTGCTACAATGCCGAACACAAAAATGAGTTTATATATATATATTCCACTCACACCCTTCTTCACTTCAGCCGTGGATTTCCATGGAAGGAAAGAATAGAAGGTAAAGGATGGAGAAGTGAGGAAAGAGAAAGTTGGGTTTTTTACTACCGATTCATTCTATTGCTTTTATTAAAATTCTTTAGATCACTATGGGTATCTTCATTCCTTTTTATGTTTTCAAAAATTTTTATTTTGACCATTTGATTCTTCCAAAAATGATTTTAAGTATATATTTTTTGGATTTAGTAAACTTTTACTGCTTAACTTTTTATATGTTCTAATACTAATTATTCTAGGTGTTTTAATTAGTTGATTTTATAATTTTAGTAGTTAAAAGTATAGTTATTATATTTATATGATTTAATATGAAAAGTGATTTTGACAATTTAATTCGATTCTAATGTTATTATAAATATAATGATTGAATACTGGTAAGTGATTAAGTGTTTGATCCTCGTTATTTCTTATATAATATTGAATAATTATAATATGTGTAAAAATAAGTAAAGATTGAATACTCACTGATATTGGCTGGAGATTAACTGACTTGTATAGGATGGTAGCCCAATGGGCTTTTCTTTAAATAATGTGGTTTACTGTTATCCTATACTAACTCATGTGATTTGCCGATTAGGAATTATTTTGCCAACAGGCAAAGAGTGACTAGTTTATTTATTGAGCTAATAAATTTTTATTACTTAAAAAAAAAAACACCATGTAAGCTACAGCTTTTCATTTGTTTATTGTGCTTACTAGGATGTATTACTAATTTATTATCACTATACTGATTTATTGTTATTATACTATCTTACTATTACTGTTATAGATTTTACTGATATTGATATTGTTAAAGATTTATTATTATTATTACTACAATTGATTCACTTTTTAATGATTTATTATTAGCACGTGATTCTTATTACTTAGAATGTTATATACGATACTTATTTAATATTAATACATATCGACATAACATTATGTGTATACTAATTTAATATTACTACATTATTATGGATTTTAACAGTTTTCATAGATGCTTTATTTTTGCTGATTTATATGATTTTCTTATTGATTGAATGCCACTTCTTTAGCATATGAATGACAGTTGTACTGGGTTTTTTGCTTTACAAATTTTACTATTCTTTTACTGCACTATTTTATGGCCTATATATCATATTTTTTACAAGTACAGAAATTTTATCATATAGCATGTCCTTTGTTATTTCTACATAAATTCATAATCATATCGAATGTTATTGTTATGAATTAAATGATTACAAGCATATTATTTCTTTACCAGGCTTTGAACTTAGTTGTAGGATTTGAGTGAGCTTCTAACACTTTTAACTCATTATATGTGATATAAATAATTTTGGGTTAGAAAAGAGGATCGGGAGAGTAAGAATGACTAGTTATAGAATTTCTAAAGTTAAAGGTATAAATGATCTGAGCCAACTCAAACTCGACTCACTAAGGAGCTTGCGAGTCGAACTTATCGAGCCATGAGCTCGAGCTCGAGCTTAAATATTAAATTAGCTAGAGTTTGAGTTTAATTAAGCTTTGCTTGTAGGCTCACGAGCTGATTTAAAAAATTTAAATATTAAAGAATTTTTTTTTAAGAAAAATAATATTCAAAATTTATATGTTTAATAATAACATTTAAAATTGTACAGGAGCTTTAAAAAATAAAATTGTAAAAAGTTCTTTCACATTAATTAATGCTCTATTTCCTAAAAAAATATGTACGGTTTGCAAGTTTTTCAAAAAGAAATCTAATCGCTTATTATTCTTCAATCTCCATCTATAAAATTGTACAACATGTGGTCCATGATTTCTTTCAGTGAAGTGAAAAATCCCACTTTGACATTTATCAAGTCTTGCTCTCAAGTATGAGAACAAACACTCGAGACGAGTTTGCGCTCATTCTCTAGGCTTCATTCAAGCTCGAGCTCGAGTTCAAGTTCTTTAATTGAGTGACAATTCGAGCTCAAGATTTCTCTGACTCGAGATAGACCCAACGCGTTTACACCCTTACCTAAGGTTTTTGTACTATTTTATTTCTTTTTTGTTTTTAGATATTCTTTTGTAATCAGAATTTGGCAGATGATTTATTTAATTTGTATGACTCATGCCTATAGCACATGATTTTTTGATAATGAATATAAATGTACATTGATGTTTTGATCTATCTTGTCCACTGGTATTTATTTTAATAAAAAAATTAGATAACTCTAGTTGAAATATATAATAGATAAAACATAAAATTATTTTCAATTTAGATTCTGAGACATCACAAAGGACCTACAAGAAAAATAACTCTAGTACCTATAGATCTACTCTCATAATTTTGTATAATTTATAAGAGAACCTTTGAAGGTGTTTGTTTAGGGTTTTCCTACATTTTGGCCATTCAAAAAAAAACGTGGGCATTCCTTGGTGATTCATTGGTTCGCGATGCATTATTCGATGAAAAGTCTAAGAAGTAGGCAGATTTGTAAGTAATATTGCAAGAGAGAATTGAAATTGGTATGTGCTTGACCCTTGAGTATGGTGAGGAAGATTTGGTATGGGATAATATCAGAAGTTTACTGAATATGCATAGTGGTTCTATAGTGATTAATATGCTTGCAACGATCAAATGCTCTATCATAGAGATAAATTTGAAATAACTTAGACTCCACTAAAATAGGATGATGGAGAAATGGATTAGTTAGAGGTGAAGTTTTGAAAGTTATGTTGTAATCAGCTTAAGTCCTTCATGACTGGTCGAGGATTACAAGTAGTCTTAGTAACATGGAAAGGATGTGTTAAACTAGTGTTGAACCTAATGTGTATAGTAAGATTTTGATTATTATAAATATTATTATTAATGCTAATATAATTTTTAGTTAACTAGGGAGATTTTTGGACTAACAATTCAGGTCAAATAAAATAGCTACCACACAAGAGACCAAATCAGAAAGAGGAGCTAATTGAACCAATAATTTCAAACATGAAGACCATACAAGATTAAGAAGAAGTTAGAAAGTAACATGAGGTTTTCAAAATTATAATTTTTTTCTTTTATTGAGTTTTCTGTTATGTGTAGGATTATATTAACTAAACAAACATACACACAAACATACACTGATTGAGACTGTAATAAATGATGAACTTGTAATATATTGAGGTGGTGGCCTTATACAATGTAACACTGAAAATGTTAGTTTTCTCTCCACTTCTTCTATAAAGCTATATTTTCTTAATTCCTTATTTAATTTTTCTGTATGATGATCGCTAAACTACTAAGCATATGCTTTTACATAATAGGAATATGTTATTATTAGTGGTTTCAAACATTTAGTGCACGAATGTATTACATAGAATGATGTTCTCAAATATATGAGATGATCATAGCATCTTATTTAAAATGACATTATGTAGCTTTAATTAACCTTACAAGCTGTTGGCACCAACTCCAACTTTTGTTTCCGAAAAGAAATTACTTCTCCACCTTCATCCATGTCTATATCGTCAATAGTTATGCCGTTAGGCAGACTCCAATCAAAGCGATGCAGAAGATTTGCCAGAGTAATCTCAATAATAGCCATTGAAAAATTCATTCCTGGGCAAATCCTACGACCAACACCAAATGGAATGAAGAAAAAATCATTACCCTTGTAGTCTACTGTACAATCAAAGAATCTTTCTGGCTTGAACTGTTCTGGTGCTTCCCAATACGATTCATCTCTCCCCAAAGCCCATGCATTGAAGACTAGTCTAGTTTGCTTAGGAATATTGTAGCCTTGTATTTGACACTCTTGCAATGACTCTCGAGGAAGCAATAATGGAACAGGTGGATGCAGCCGAATGACTTCTTTTATAAAAACCTTAAAGTAGCTCAGTTGGCCTAACTGTTCTTCACTAATCATGTCTTCTCCATGAGCCACTTTTCTCAGTTCGTCCTTTACCTTTTTCATCACTTCAGGATTTCGCATAAGTTCTGCCATGCACCAATCCAGAGTTGTGGATGTTGTCTCTATTCCAGCAACAATCAAATTCTATTTCAAAAAAAAAAACATGTTAAAAGAAATTTTAATTTGATTCTATAGTATTTAGATAGTTGTTTAATCTAAAGACAATCATTTTACTTTGAGACAGTATCATGAATCATTAAAATCTATTTGAATAGTAATATATTGTTTAACCAAATAGTATGATATAAAATGATCATATTCTGAATATATCAATAGCCTGCACTGCAGATATCAATGCTATTGGCCGGAAGCTAGAAGCCAATGAAATAAAAATTACAATACAATAAAAATTGATGAATTAAAATTGTAAAACATTGAAAGAATTATTATCTGAGTTAATATCTACTTGAAACTTATATTTTACAACTAAGGTATTAGCAAAAAAGACTTAAAATACTTACCAATATAAGACCCCTGATGTGATCGTCTGTGAGGACAAACCCCAAGCTCGAATCATTCTGCAAATCAAGTAACGTATCAATGAAGTAAGTGCTATTCTTACCGTTCACCTCCTTTGACTCATGACCATGGTTCTTAATAATTGCATCAAAAGTAGCATCCCGATTCTTCGTGTAATTCTTGAGCTTTCTATCTAATCCGCATAGCACATCTAGCCATTTTAAATTTGGAAAAAAATCCTCAAAGAAAGCTTGAAAAACTAAAGTTGAAGACTCGTGTGATAGTTTAGACCAAAGTGCCTTTTTCTCTTCAGTTATCCATGATCCTAAAATCACTCTAGTTATCAACTTGGTTACGTAAGAATTTAACATCTCTGTGAGTTTTACAACTCCATTACCCCTCGAAGTTTCATCCGCAACTTTTCCAAGCAAAAGAGACAACTCCTCTGCCCGAGCGAAGCTCAGGGACTTCACTTTTTGTGAGCTAAGAAGGTGGGTTCTGGCAAGCTTTTTCATTTGTCTCCAATTCTCTCCATATGGAGCAAAGGCTATGTCATTCTTGTTGTTGGACAAAGCATCCGTTAGCTTCGTCATTGGACGAGTTGCAAATACGATATCATTGTTTCTAATCACCTCTTCAACAATTTTGGGGCTTGAGACTACTAGAGTTCGAAAACTACCAAGATGAAGAAGCATCAAAGGTCCATGCTGCTTTGAAAGCTTGTAGAGCGAGCGATGGGGAATCGAGCCAAGTTGGTGGAGATTACCTATGAAAGGAAGTCTCGGAGGTGAAGGTACGAGAGCTACCTTCTGTGAGTTGGCCTTCCTTCTTTTTAGTAGTAGGAAGAAAAAAGAAATAATTGGAATAGCGGCAAGCAAAATTGGATTCATCATTACCCCGATTTAGCTACTTCTGCAATGGACGATCATTGAAACCGAAATCCACGATTATTTATAACCCCAAAAACCTTAGGAAGAAAAACTCAAATAATAATTATATACATAGGAAAGAAAAATATTAATAATAAAAAATTTAAGTTCAACGCCGCCGGCTATGACCAATTTCCATGAGAGTGATGTCAGCCTTAACCAAAAAGAAAGTTAAATTTTAAAAAATATATTCTTTTAACTCTTATTATTAATATTGCATACTTTTTTTTTAGATAAACATTATATGAGTATTCAGCGCTAATCTAATCATTTTAAAATTTTGAAATAAATATATTATTTGAATAATTAATTTATTTTTAAATTTCACTTATTTTAAAATAAGAAAATTATGTCATTCTTGATACGTCGTCATAAATTATCTTGAGCGGGCATGAATCTCGAGGCAAAACTCAAGTTGGAAACTTCAAAAATTGAATCTGGAATCATCTGAACTCCGATTTCTGCAAACTTATAATCAAATTGAGCGTCTCGGAAATAAGAACCCAACGACACCAAATTCAACTCGATCCGAGCCCAAATGAGTCCAAATCAAGGGCACGAAGCGCTGTTGGAAAGTTCGAACCTTAATTTGAGTTACCAAACGGTCTCCGAACTTGACGAACTTATGGTCGAATCGAGCGGCTCAACGAGACGAATCCAACGAGCCCAAAATCGCCGAATTCTGAAGTCATTAAGACCTTCAAATGCCTAATAAACGTTCCACAATCGAATGATTAAATATCGACCGTTCATCCGAACCACTCAATATTCGCCCGGATCTCTGATCTATTTACGGGTCATGCCACTCCAGAAAATCTATAAATAGACCCCTCATTTCTCTTGAGAGAGGATCGAAAGCAAGAAGGAGGAGAAGAAGAAAAGAAGAGGAGGGAAGAGACTCCTTCCCGACCACCGCCGGAGTTTCGCCCGAACTCCAAATGACGCCGGAAGTCCGCCCGACTTCCACGGGATGCCAGAATTCTGCCCAATTTTAACGGGATACTGAAATTCTTCCCAATTAACGACAAAGTTCCTCCTTGACGCCGAAACTCCTCCCAAGTTATATCGGAGTTCTCCTCAGCCACCAACAGACGTCGGACTTCTACCCGACGCCGGACCTTCACTCATCTTCAAGTTTCTACCCAAAGCCGAACTTCTACCAGTTATCGGACTTTCGATGGATGTATATCCGAAGTTGGATTTCTTTCCATTATTAGACTTCTACCTGACGCCGTCCTTCTGACCTTCCTCGTCAGACAACAGTTCTTCCGACCTCCGTCGCCAGCCGACTACAATTTTTCTGACTTACTATGCGTCACCCACCGACTACAATCCTTCTGGCCTCCGTCGCCAGCCTACTATGGTCCTCTTAACTTACGTCACCTGTTGACTACAGTCTTTCTGACCTCCGTCCCCCACCGACTATGATCTTCCTGACTTACGTCGCCCGCCGACTACAGTCTTTCTGACCTCCGTCGCCTGCCGACTGCAATCCTTCTGACTTATGTCACCCACCGATTACAGTCCTTTCAACATTCATCGCCAGCCGACTACGGTCCACTTGACTTACGTCTCCTACCAACTACAGTCTTTCCGACCTCCGTCGTCCGCCAACTACGGTCCTTCTGACTTACGTTGCCTATCGACTACAGTCCTTCTGGCCTCCGTCGTCAGTCGACTACGGTCCTCTTGACTTACATCATCCGCAGACTACAATCTTTCTGACCTCCGTCACCAGACTATGGTCCTCCTGACCAAACGAATACGTTAATATTGACTCTTTGTATTCACATCATGTAATGTGCTCTATAAAATGTACATCAAGCTAAGGCCTTCTCCCAAGGAAGGGCCTCATTTGTAATCAACTGTTACACTAGTGGATTCATTCAAACTGGGTCAGGCCTCATGGTTTTTCCCCCTTTTTAGGGGTTTTCCATGTAAAATCTCTGGTGTCTCTTATGAATGTTACACCCTCTCACTTATCAGATTGTGTACTGGATCTTCGTACAATGTTAAGACGTTAAACTATATATTTCTCTACCGCCGCGAATACTCTAGGACGCAACAATTTGGCGTCGTCTGTGGGAACATGGTTCCCGACTGGGGACAATTTTAGCTCCAACCTCAAAATGTTATTCGACTGCTATTGATGCATTAATTTCATGGAATCATATCCAGACTGAGGGGGCAACCTTGACTACAATTTTACTCAAGAAGATCCCTCCAAGACTTCTAAAACCAAGACAATATATAAGGAAACTCTTGGCAAATGCAAGGAAGCTTTCGATAAATTTCAAACCATGTACAGTCCCTTACTGGACTTCTACCCCTTAGGCAAGGTCTTAATCTCAACCTCAAAAAGGCAGTAACGGCCTAAAGATAGACCATTCTTCACCTTTGATTCGGGATACACGCAGCATTAGCCCCCTTCAATCAAAGCAAAATCGATCCCAGGGAGATCTGATTTGACCTCTTCTATACAGGTAACGTCGTCGAGCAAAGGCTCAGACATACAACCTCGGATAGGTTTCATATCTTTGGTGGATTCTCTTGACCTCTTCCACACAGGTTAATGTCTTCGAGCAAAGGCTCTAACATACAACCTCGAATAGGTCTCACATCTTTGGTGGATTCTCTCGATCTCTTCTATACAGGTTAACGTCATCGAGCAAAGGCTTCGACATACAACCTCGAATAGGTCTTACATCCTTGGTGGATTCTCTCGACCTCTTTCGTGTAGGTTAACGTTGTCGAGAAAAGGCTCCAACATTCAACTACGGATAGGTCTCACATCTTTGGTGTATTATCTCGACCTCTTCCATACAGGTTAACCTCGTCAAGTAAAGGCTCTAACATACAACCTCGGATAGGTCTCACATCCTTGGTAGATTCTCTCGACCTCTTTCATACAGGTTAACATCATCAAGAAAAGGCTCTGACATATAACCTCGGATAGGTTTCACATCCTTGGTGGATTTTATTGATCTCTTCCATACATGTTAACGTCCTCGTCTAAAAAACAACCTCGGATAGGTCTAACTTTCTTGGTGGATTCTCTCGACCTCTTCCATACAGGTTAACGTTGTCGAACAAAGGCTCCGACATATAATCTCGAATAGGTCTCACATCCTTGGTGGATTCTCTTGACCTCTTCCATGCAGATTAACGTCGTCGAGTAAAGGCTCCTACAAACAACCTCGGATAGGTCTCACATCCTTGGTGGATTCGCTCGACCTCTTCAACATAAGTTAACATCATCGAGCAAAGACTCCGACATACAACCTCGAATAGGTCTTACATCCTTGGTGGATTCTCTCGACCTTTTCCATACAGGTTAACGTCGTCGAGCAAAGGCTCTGACATACAACCTCGAATAGGTCTCACATCCTTGGTGGATTATCTCGACCTTTTCCATACAGGTTAACGTCGTCGAGCAAAGGCTCTAACATACAACCTCGGATAGGTCTCACATCCTTTGTGGATTCTCTCGACCTCTTCCATATAGGTTAACGTCATCGAGCAAAGAATCTCGGATAGGTCTCACATCCTTGGTGAGTTCTCTCAACCTCTTCCATGCATGTTAACATCGCCAAGCAAAGGCTCCGCATACAACCTCTGATAAATCATATATCCTTGGTGGATTCTCTCAACCTCTTTAACATAGGTTAACTTCATCGAGCAGGGCTCTAACATACAATCTCGGATAAGTTATATATTCTTGATGAATTCTCTCGACATCTTCTACAGAGATTCTTAGCAGGCTAAAAAGCCTTTAAAAAGTATATTATGCATGTCTCAAAGATGCAATAACAATTTAACTTCATCCAAGGGATAAGTTCTTAACTTCATATATAGTATCAATGAAGTTACATAAATTTAGATTTAAATGTACATTTATTCTCACTAGAAGATGAAATTAAAAAGTACATTGACATCTATTGTACAAGCTACTATCATCAAGCATCTCCTACAACTTCTTCAAAAAAAGATTACATTTTGGTCTTCATCAGGCCTCAACTCAGTTGACACTATGTGTGTGTCGTCAGACCACTAATATAACACACTACTTCGGTCCCTTGACTCAGGGATATCTGATGTTGCTACACTTCAGTATAGATGCATATTATATTAGTGAAATGTCATTGGACTACCACCATCATTAGCTCTTCATCTGATATTTACTTGCAGCCCTTCACTTCATATCATCCATCATCAGCTTCTCGCTCGACTGCTACTTGCAGTGCACCCTCGAACTCTCTCCTTCAGCTCTACACTTGATTGTTGACTACTAATGGGCTTAAACTCGATCGTCCATCACCGACAGATTTTCGCTCAAATGGCATTGAAAATCTCTCGTATACTCATCACTTTTAGTTCTCCTACAGGACACAATCACCGTCAGATCTTCTTAAATCACCCTCGTATACACGTAGCAATTGATCTCCTTTTATCACGGTTTATCTATTTAGAAGATAACCTCTCATCGTGACTTCTTCTACACAAGAGAGGGGCACTGAAGCTTGATAGGGGAATGTCGCCTATCTCCGACAGTGGAATGCCTCCAATGCAAAAAGAAGAGTGCAAGCGAAGAGCAAGGAGGAAAAAATTCTCCTTCTACATAAAAGAGGGGCACTTAAGCTTTAATTAAAAGTAGTACAATACTAAATCAAGCTGCTCAATTATATTCATAGAAATTACATTCATTTTTGAGGAGTTCTTATAGGGTGTGGTGGAATGTGCATAGATCGTGCCTCAAGTAAATCATCAACATTTTATGTCAAAAGCATTGATAAGATTCATCAGTCTCACCATTGGACTGTTCATTTTGATGCATATGAGGATATCATTCAATGTAGCTGTGGGAAGTTCAACATTATGGGGTTACTATATTCTCACTACATGAGAGTAAAAAGGAAGTTAGAAATAGTTAATATTACTTCAAAATACCTACTTCTGATATGGTCAACTAGAGCTAAAAAAAGACATTTATTCTGGCCGAACGTTCACATTTATA